GGACAGGCAGCTCCTTCGTCCCTCCCCATGAAGGCTTCTTAGGCAACAACCACCGGAAAAGCCACCGCCAATCGGGTCAAAGCAGAAGACCGAAAAAAGAAAAGACTGCCAGAAAGGGCTTGGACAGGGTTTGGTTAGCAAAGCTGCCAGACCGGGCTGGGCTAAGAAAGGAGCTGGTTGGAACCCAATTAGAAAGAAGCTAATTAGTGAGGGCCTAGCTCTGAGAGAAGCCAGACTAAGACAGGCGTGGGAAGTGGCTGAGTCGGAAATGGCTGAGAGAGGTTTGGTCAGGCGGGACAGGGCTCCCCTCAGCATTTTCCTCAGGCCAAGGAAAGGTTTCAAAAAGGGCCAGGTGTGTTTTTCAAAGTGTGGCTGAAAGCAAGCAGTCCTTCTGAAAAGGAACTGGCTGAAATCCTGCCCGGAATTCACCCTGATGGTCTCAGTCAGCAAAAACCTGTTATGAGAATCTGGCCCCTGCCTGGGACTGAGCCGCCACGAAGCTCTGTCCCTCATCCATCGAGGGTTTTGAAAACAGACGACACTTTCAGTCTGGCATCGGGCGGCTGCCGTTTGCGTTCACAACTTGGTCAGGCGTTAAGCGAACAAAAGGATTCTCAGAACCCCCTGAAACACAATCCGCTCTGGCTGAAGCATCAAGCTGCCAGCAAGGCAAAATGGTATGTTTGCCAAAAGTCACCAATGGAGCGGGCAAAGCCTGACCACTCTTGAACTCTAACAGGATGAGGGCTGCTCCTCCTGATGGGCCAAAAAAGCAAGACAGCCTGTTAATTACCGCGCTCTTGTGTGTGACCCAGGCCCCAAAATCTGAGCATTGTCAGCCAAGCGGGAGTGAGTCTGCTGGACCAAAGCTCATTGCTTGGGCTCCTAAGCAGAGCGGGAGGAACCAAGAAGCAGCTGGAAAACTTTAAAGGGTAACAATAAACAATGAAGGGGATACAGAGGGGAGGGAACATCTGGGAACATCTCATTTCCAAGTCTTAATTAAAGTGATCTGATGAGAAACAAATAGGATTTCTCCTTTCTGCTTCTGGGCTGGTGGCCATGCATGCGATGGGCCAGCCATGGTTCTGGAATTGTCCCCCACCTTAGGAGTCCAGCACATTCTGCCCAACTCAGAAACCATGGGGGGGGGCTGCTGGTGACACTGAGAACCCCTCCCAAATTAAGCACTCTACAGCTGCAGCAGGACCCTCCCCCTACCTCTCTCTCTTGGGGTGTGTTTTGAGCTGCTCTCCCCCTTTTCAGATATTCAACACGAGCTCTCTGGGGCCATCCAGCTTGTGTCCATACACACACACACACACACACACACACACAAGAAACAGACCCATGGCATGCTTTCTAATGCCACTGCTGATCCCCACCCGGGCACCGCAAAGCTCTTTCCTTCCAACTCAATTTGCAGGAACAACCAGGAAGCAGGTCAGGAAGGTCTGGACGGAGACGTCCCTCTTCCCACCGAGCCACTTCCCTCCGGATGCCAGGAGGCCACGGTGGTGCCACGTCCCTGGTGCTGAAGAGTGAGCCACACCTGCCGGCTCAGCTACCTGGCGCAAGCCGGATGCCTGCCTGCCTGCCTGCCTGCCTGCTGCAAGCCGGATGCCTGCCTGCCTGCTAGCCGAGGTGCAGGGCCTCCTCGGGGATGGCTCGACAATGGCGGCTCTCTCCCAGGAATTCAACCACCCAGAATGGCCTTGGTACAAAATCAAATAATTTATAAATTCACTCCTGCCTTCTGCAAAGAGGCCCGCCGCAGGCAAGCAGCCTCGGAAACACCCTCCATGGGGCTGTGAGGAGCCTCTCGGTCCAGGCATTTTATGCCTCAGCAAGAGGGACGTCTCCTTGCAGACAACGATGCCTCCAGCTCAGGCCCTCGGAGCAACCGCTTCAGCCCGGCCAGAGGCCAAGGGCCAGCGAGAGGAGGCAGAAGGAAGGCCCAGCCCAGGCCCGGCGGAGGGGAGGCTGCTTCGCAGAGAACAAGGAAGGAGCAGGGAGAGAAAAACCCAGCAGGAGGGACCCTTGACAGGGCCGGGAGGGAAGGCCCGGTGGGGCCATGGCAGCTCCCAGAGGACCCTTCACGCCTCCCACTCAGGCCTCCCAAGGGAAAAATGAGACACCCGGGGGGGGGGAGCCCCAGCCCATCAGAGGGACGGACTGGGAAGGGCCTCCAAGCAGCAACCTGGTCCCTTCCGTCCACCCCCCCCTCCAATCATGCCCTGGAAAGACCACCAAACCCTGCCCCATACAGAGGATTCCACCTTCTCCACACACACACACACACACGCACACATGCACATGCACACACACGCATCCCAGAAGGAAACTGGACTGAATGGCCCTCAAGACTCCCCCCCCCAACTCTGAGCCTCCCTGGCATTCTGCTGCATGGGGGGGGCCTGACGTGGTCCTCCTCCTGGAGGCGGCAGGAAGAAAATGGGGGGGTGCAGCAGGAGGAGGAGGAGGAGGATCCGGAAACCAGCACTCTTCGCCCCCTCACAACCGACCTGGAAGTCGCCACTGACCTCCCGAGGAGCACCAGAGGAAGACTCTCCTCCACCCACCCCCCCCAAGCCCCATTTCTCTTCCCACGGATCCAACATCCCGGGTCGGCCGCCCTCTGCTCTGGCCCAGGCCCGGACTGATGAAGTCCCGGATCCGGCAAAAGCGCCACCTACGTGCAACTCTGCCTGATTTTGCCTGGAGGGCGCGAACAGCAATGCTTTCCCAGCCCAGTGACTGAAAGGGGGGGAAGGCCCCCACCCGGGCCTTCCTTAGCAAACCCCCCCCTCTCTGAGAGGAGAGTCCGGCTGAATCCACACCAGTTGTGCTTCCTCCCTCCCTGCTGGTGGCCTCTGCATTCCCAGGACAGCTGCAGACCGGACAACACATTCCCCCCCCCGCTCCGCCCTTACCCACCAGCAACACTGCGGGTGCCCTTGCACAACATCTCACCCCAGAGGGACTGCAGGCGGCTGAGAAGACCGTTCTCGTCCTCACACAGGCCGCCGCCCAGAAGGACTCCTCCACCTTGGGGGATCATAAGCCCACATCCTCAGATCAAAGGCATTCGTGGTTAATTCGAGGCTTCTTCAGTTGCCATGCCCAACAGCCTCTCCCTGGTTTGAAACACACGGAGGACCTCGCTATCACATGAAGAATCTAGAAGACTGGAAGGAACAAACTGACAAAACCAACTCCAAGCCGAAACCTGGTTGTCCTTTTCACAAAAACTTCAGCACAACTAACCCTTTCTTGAGAGTAGAATTCCTGAACACTTCAAAAAACAAAACTTAACAACTATGTGTGTAAGTTTACAAATGTTTGGCATTAATTTATTCATGCAAACATTTCAAGTTCTTAAAAAAGAAAAAGAAAAAAAACAACCAAAATTTTCATGAAATTCATTAGTGTCAAATAGCTTTAATTCTGAAAGTGAACTCAGTGGTGTGCGTGAAGGCACAGGCGGCAACAGTAGTGGAAAGTGATGGCGTACACACACACACACACACACACACACACACACACAATATCTCAGCAGAAGAAAAAGAGTCAACCTCTCTTGGAAGCAAAAGAACATACAATGACAACCTAACACCCACAGCTCTTCAGGTATGCTAAAATAAGCGTACCACCTATTTCCAGTGCCTTTTCCTTTTACGTTGAAGCAAATTTTGTGACGGAAACAGACACTATGAAAACCCAAAGACAAAGAATTGCAACAAAAATAAATTCCACGTAAAACATTGAATTTGTTTGATGATAACATTAAATCAGGTAAAGTATGGTTAATTTTTGTCCTGAACAAATATTTTAATTCAGATAATTAGAGGCTGTTTGGATAAGGAAAGATTTCATTCAGTAAATGGAAGTCAAACAAATATATGTCAGAATCAAGTCACGCTACATTGAGAAAACCGGCCGCTCTTGCAGAAATCCGCCCAGTTCCAAATTTCCCAGAAGACCCACATTGCTGCTAATTGTGACAATTATTGTCTGGATGTTCTTGTAACAAACACTCCGAATGTTCCTCACTACTGTTCAAAACACAACTGTCGGTCGCTTGTGTGGCCATTTCTCTTAGTGCTCAGCCTCACAACCATGTACAGCCAGGGGAGCGACTCGTAGCCTTAACCATGCACTGTCTGAAGCAATGAACTCAAATCCACCGACACTCACCTAACAGTAAACCTGTTCTCTGACAGGTGCTGCAAGACTTTGCTGCTATGTTGTCATGTTTTGTTTTTCTTATAAGGCACAGCACACCAGCCAGCTCACCACCCTGGGTGGGGAAAACGGCAGAGGCGAAGCAGCCTTGGCCCTCCGTGACAGTTTGGGGGGGCAGGACACCTCTGGCCCCAGCCGGAACCAACTCTGCAGAAGAGATCTGCCGGGCAGAAGAATTCTCCTCCTGCGTAACGAGTCTGGTCTGAAGCTGCCTCTCGGGGCCACAAAAAGGAAAAAAGGAAACTGTGCAGAAAGAGAAAACCCAGAAGTCCTGCCCCTCCAGCAAAGGACAGCGAAAGCCCTAACATTTCTCCAAGGCGGCCACGGCCAGGCCCAGGGCGGTCTGCTCCTTGCCAGCAGGAGGAGAGCCTTGACCGGGACAGACAGCGCACCCCGCGAGCAACCCTCCGCGTCCGACCATTGCGGGTTCAAGGCGGCATCTGCCCTGCCCGGCAGAAGGCAGTGCTTTTTAATTCCAGAGCCTTTCAGCAAACTCTCAGGGAGTTACAAAGTGGGACCCCCTGGCGATGCACAAATGAGGAGCCCCCACGCTCCTTCCACAAAGGCAAGGGAAAAGACGGCTGCCGGCATGGAAGGGGGAGGGGGCGCCTCCGGAAGGCCATCCCTTGGGGGGGGGGAAGGTGACTCCCAAGGAGGGCAGCCTCTAATCAAAGGTGGGGGGGGAGGCAAGGAAGAAAGAAAGACAGAGGGGGCTAGCAAGCAGGGAAGGGGAGGAAGAGGGGCCCCCCACTCACAGGTGATGAAGTAGTCATGGTGCCTCTTGAACTCGAGGCCCATGTAGTTGGGGCTGAACTCCTGGAACTTGATGGTGAAACGGATCTCCTGCTCCGGCTTATTGCAAGTGACGAGCACATTAGGGTCCATGACGGTGCTGCAGGACTCTGCCTGGTCCCGCTTCACCAGGTATAGCTTGTAATACTCGTAGGGCTTGGACGGCTCCACCTTCGGGCAGATGATGTCCAGTTTGTCTCCAATCTCTGGGTAGATGACCAGCCCCTTCCCGGGCAGGAACCTGAGGAAGAAAAGAAACCAGGACAGGGTCAGGCCCTCTTGCCCAGATCAAGACAGATCTCTGGCGCAGGAAGAACATGTCAGCCAAGCTGGGTCTCCGCACCACCGAGGGAGGCAAAAGGGGCTCCGCAGACGCTGAGCCTCCCGGCAACGGCTGCCTGACATTTGGGGCAGAGCCTTCTCACCAAGCTCTGAAAGTCAACAGGCAGAAACACAACGCAAGGGTGTGGCCCCCCAGGAAAGAGGAGGTTCCGTTCCGGGCCCCCAAGCTTTGTGTCTCTGCCAGCTAGGCAATGCAGAAGGGGAGAGCCCCAATTCAGAGACGCATCACCTAACAGCACGCATGAGACTTGGAGAAAGTTGTGGTCCCCTGCCCCCCCTGCCCCTTTTGCAAGCAGGGCAGGGCTGCTAGACATCCCGTACACAAACACATACGACCCCCCCCCAATACACACATCCACAGAGACTCCCACAAAGAGTGCTTTTGTGCCCCTTTGGCCACATCAAACCCCCTTGCCCAGAAATGCTTTTTTTCCCCGGGGGGGGGAGGGAGGTTTTGAACCGCTGCTCCTGGGAGCCTTCAGGATTTGCAAGCCACCTTTGGAATGGGCCACAAGTGCTCCTCCAGTGCTCAACACCCCATCAGACCCATGTTCCTAAACCGGAAATGGACCTCTGGCCACTTCTGGCAGGGCGGGTTGTTTTTTTAATCCTCTTCTGCACATGCTTTCCACGGCCTCTGCAGCCACTGCAAGACCTGGGGGGCCCAGCCCTGCCAATGTGTCCACCCTGAAGCTGGGCACACCCTCCTGACACCCCCCAGCAACCCCCAAGCACTTCTCCCTTAGACCAGGCCGGGGTGGGGGGCCTGGGCCCCTTTCCCAACCCGGCTCATTTTCCAGGATTGCCCCAAGTGAGAACCTTCCAAGTATCAAGCCTCCACTCGGATATGCTGCTGCTGCTGCTGCTGCTGCTGCTAATCCACAAAAATCCCCCTCCCCCGATACGAATGCTCCGAAACCCTAAGGTCTCCAGAACAAGCCTTTTGCAACGATGGCCTGGAAGATGCTTCTGGGTGGAGAAGCCGAGGCCTCAACTTGGGGCTTCCTGGGTGCAAAATGGGTGGGTGCCCCGGGCATCTCCACTGGAACCCCTTCAAATGCCCAGGCCAGGCTTCCCATCAGAAAGGGCCGGGGCGGCATCCCTGCTGGGCAAAGAGGAAAATCCTGCGAAAGGGAGAGGATCTCTTTAAAAGGCCCAGAGGAGCCCCTCCCTGCCTTGCGTGCCCCCTGCTTTGAACAGGGTTGTGCTGGGGGGGGATGAAGAGGGGCCCCTGCTGACAGGGCACCCCTCTCAAGGGCCAGGAGGCCACCGTCATAGAGATGGCTGGGTGGGGGGGGGAGGACAGGCCCCACAGAGCCAGAAGGCAGGAGGGCATCATCAAAGGGGAGGCCGGCAGGTACGGGGAGATGATGCCATTATTACAGGGCAATTAGGTGGCTGCCTTTTGGAGCAGCATGAATTAGAGGGAGGGAGCAGGAGGAGCTGACCATCTCCTCAGGTTAAGTAGGGTCATCCTCTGCTCTTGATGAAAGACAACTCGGGAGGAGCAGACATTCATGCAAATTTATCCCGGCTGCAGACCAGCCACAGACGTCCTTGGAGCAGGCTGGGTGGTGCTCTCCTTGAAGGAGTCGGTGGCTGTTCCCTCCCTCTCGGACAGCGGTGGCCTTTCCCCCCCCACACACCTCAAGAAGGCCCGGCTGCTGCTCCAGCACCCATTTTATGGCCTCTGGAACAACAGGGCCTAACCCAGGTCTATGCTGCCCCGTCGTCAGGGTCCATCCTGGAAGACACACCTCACCTTGGCAGCTTTCACACAAAGCGGAAGACACACGGACCCTGCACGAAAATAACACCACACAGACACGTGCAAAGGAGCCCGAGGGAATCAGCCGTTCCAAATCCCTAAAACGATTTCATGGATATTTACACCGTCCTCCTTAGCCCAGGTTTGCCAGGTGGGATTAGCGTTCTGCTCCCCCTTCAGAAGAGGCAGGTGGCCCCCGCCTTTCCTGCTGCAAGAACATCTGGAGAGCTCATAGCTGAGGTGAGACAGCTGGAACGGATGCACACAGACGGAGCTGGGGCTGGAAAAATCATGGGATCCCCTGGTTTTTCCAGCCCTGACCATGCTTGTCCAGCCAGCACATCTTGGGGCTCCAGGCTAAGTAAGACACACCCACACCCACACCCACACCCACACACACACACACACACCCACACACACACACCCAGCGCCGGCGCCAGCAGCCTCTGCATTAGAGAAGAGGAAGAAGAGCTGCTCTCTGAACTAGGAGGGCTGCTGCGAACATGGCCCCTGAGCCCTCCAAACCCAACCCGAACTCAGCCATCAACTGGGCCGGCATGCCTCCGCAGGACGCAACACCCCACCAACAGGTTTGGCGTGAGGCGTTCATCCAGACGACGGAGGTGCCTGCGAAGCACCATCGGGGGCGACACCTGCTGACGCTGAGCAAGCATAAAGCAGGAGGGACAGAAGCCAAGCTGGCCGCCTCGTGATGACTGCCAGCGTTGTGCGGCATCTCAAGCCAGCTGCCACCCTGCTCCAGCTGGAAACGGCTGCCGCCATCAAGCCCCGCTTTGCACTCCAAGTGCCTCCAACAAGATGAGCCACAACAAAGCCAGCCGTGTGCGGCATCGTTTCCTTCCCTGCTGGCTCCTCCGGCCCAGCCTGCCGCTTCCGAGGCCCTGAAAAAGCTCCCTGGTCCTCAAGCAGCTGCCGAGACAAACCCCTCTGGCTGGCCAGCTCTTGCGCCTCATGTGGGAGGCGAGGCTGATGCCAGAGCTCTAAGGGCAGAAGGGAGCAGGGACTCCTCGCAGGATTCAGCTTAGAGTTAGGGCTGCCCAGCAAGCTGCCCAACAGGAAAAGCAGCCGGAAAAGCGAGGTCCTCCCAGCCTCGGCCGAGCATGCCAGCCCACAGCCGAACCTCCCTGCCTTGCCAGGGTCCTCCGATTCTCCCCTGGGGAAAGGAACTTTCCTCGCCTGCCCCGGGAAGCTGACTCCACAGTTCCTCTGGCCCCACGCCACCTCTTTCAACAAACCGGGCGGTCACCTTACAGTCCCAAACCCCAACAAAGCCAGTGTTGCCCCCACACACACACACACACACACACCGCCACTCCCACACGCCTTGCCTTGCCTGGCTTGACCAAGGACTGCCAAGGAACGGCCGCCCCTCAAGGCAAAGGAAGAACTCCAGCCCAATCCGCCACAAAGGGAGCCTTTCACCAGGGATTGTTGCAAACCACGGGCACCAACCGTGGCCTTCCCTACAAAGAAGCTCCAGAAGCGGAAGCAAAACGGGTCCACTTGGCCCAGCTTTGGCAAGAAGGCCACCCCCCACCCAGGAACAGCTCGGGGGCCATCCTGGTCTCCGAACCTCCAAGACGACAGAGGCAACAGTGCCTCCCCAGCACATCCACGGTGGTCATTGGGCACCTCCCACCTGGATTCCTGGGAAAGCCACAGAAGCCATCGGAGAGGTCCAGAGGAAGAGGTGCCCCCCACCCGTGACCCCCTTAAAAGTCTAGGACCAGATCCAGCAGAACTATGGAAACAGATGAGCGTAGGGCGCCTATTCACATGATTACCCCACAAAGAACAACTTTTTTTAAATTTATTTTTTAAATTTGCAAAACAAATACAAGAATACAAAATACTTACTAATGCAATCTAAACCACAGTGCACCCCCATACCCATGGGTCCCTTTGAAGCAATACTTTTAATACGAACCTCTTTTCCAAAATTGTATTCCTTGAAGAACTTTCCAAAAATCCCCCCACCCAGCCCTTTCCAGAAGCCCTTTTTCTCCTTGGCTCCACGGACTCCCCAGAGCAGCAAGGATACTGCGCCCCCCCAGGAGAGGTTAGTAATAGCCATTGGCTACTAATCACATCTCTTGGACGTTTCTAGAAGCTTCCAAGAGGTCCTGCCCAGGGGGAGAGCAATTGTGTGCATTCACAGAGGCCACAAAGAAGAAACTCCCACTGCTTATGGGACGACAAGGCATCTCCTCCATCTTCCCCACACGCAGGGGAACAGGTGAACACGTCGACCTCTCTGAGAGCCTTTTCCACGGCCACCTCCGTGGGACCTGCTCTCCGGCTCCACCGTGAGCCAGTGGGGTGGCACAGCCAGTTGGCCAAGCGCCCAGGGGGTTGGGGTGAGAATCCTAGACCCCTTCCTCCCCAGCAAGCTCCCTTCTGGTTCCACATGGAGTGGGGTGGAGAGGTCAGGGGGAGGGGGGGCTTCGGTCCCCTGTGCCTGCCAGCCACTTTTTTTGCCTTTGGCCCTCCCAGCACCCTGCAGGGGTGCAAAAGCGAGTGACATCCAAACAAACGAAACACGATGGCCGACACCACATCACGTGCATCTCGGAGGCCTTTCTAACAGAGACAGAAAGGGCCACGACACGCACGGACGTCTGGCCTCGGACCCCCTGCCTAGGAAGGGAGGCCCCCTTCGCCTGTGCCAGGCAGCCGCTTTGCCTCAGCCCAGCTTCAGGGACAAAAGGCCACTTCTCCAGAGGAAGGAGCTGGAGGAGACTTTGCCACCAGTCCCCATGCGCATGCCTTTCGCCCAGAAGCAACGTTAATCTTGTGCAAAGGCAGTCGGGCTACAAAAGGGAGAGGGAGAGGACCATCCACACGGCCTTTGCCACCTTCCGCTTTTCCCAGGTTTCTGTGGAATCTCTCCTGGGGAAGGAGTGAACATGTGTTTCCAGAAGGTCCCTCAAGGACCAGGACACAGCAAACAGTCTCACTTTCAAATCCTCAAAAAAGGTAAACACACACACGCACACAACCTCATTCTTCCTCTCCTCTCCATCCGGTTACTGTTGCTGCTAAAAACCAGCAGCTCCCCCTTTCAGCCCCAAACTCTGAGGCCTCCTTTGTTCCGGGCCAAGGGATAAAGC